GGAGCCCGATGCGGGACTCGATCCCAGGACTCCAGGATCATGACCTGAGCCGAAGGCAGTCGCTCAACCAACTGAGCCACCCAGGCGCCCCCCAACCAATCAACTTTAAATATGGAAAAAGTGAGGCCCAGAGAAAGTAAGTAAGGGGCTATTGAATATGAATAGTAAAACAAGACACCATTCTGACATCTGAGTCAGCATGCCAGTGCTCTTTCCAAGGCATCATGAGCAAACCACTCTATCATCTTTTTTCTTTTCCATGGGATACCACCTCCTTAGCACATTGGACCCTATGGGTTTAAGAGTCTGACCTTTTGAACAATATTGGATTTTTTTCTCTCTCTCTAGAGACCACAGAGCTGGGCAGCAAGAAGGAACTCAGGTCCATGCCCTTCATCACCTACCTCTCAGGTCTGCTGACGGCCCAAATGCTGTCAGATGACCAGCTCATCTCAGGTGTGGAGATCCGCTGTGAGGAAAAAGGCCGTTGTCCATCTACCTGCCACCTTTGCCGCCGACCGGGCAAGGAGCAGCTGAGCCCCACACCAGTGCTGCTGGAAATCAACCATGTGGTACCACTTTATACACTCATCCAAGACAATGGTACCAAGGAGGTGAGCTCCCCTGACACAGCCACTAAGTCACATCTAAGTAACAATCTTCCTGCCTCCCGCCCTTGTGGGCCCTTTGTCCATTGAGATTATCTTTCAACATCATCATGGTGATGACTGACATTTATTGATTCCTTACCATGTTTTAAGTACATATATAGCTGCTATAACCAGTAAATCCTCTAATCTCAATGGCTTAATATAATAGAACTTATTTCTTGTTTGTGTGGAGTCCCAAATAAATGTTTTTGATGATGAGTGGCTTCACTCTGAGAAGCGGTTCAGACACCCACCTTATTCTATCTTGTGCCCTCATCAACCTGAGGCTTCCATAGTTGCTGTGGAAGAAGAAAGAACGTGGAGGATCACACGTGAGAAGTTTCGTGGGCCAAGCCTGAAAGTGACAAATATCATTTCATTGGGTAGAACGCAGACATTGGGCACGTGTCTGCAAACAAAAACAGGGAAATATATTCTATCTAATGGTCTGGGGAAGAAGATATATGGGCTTTTTGAAAACCTAATAGTGTCTGCCTCAATATTATACTTGGATTATCTCATTTAATCTTCCCTCCAGATCTGATTTATGTATAAATATTGCTTTGACTCATATGAAATTGTCAACATTTGATCATTTTTTACTTATAAAAATGGTAATAAAAAAAAAATGGTAATTCCAGGGGCCCCTGGGTGGCGCAGTTGGTTAAGCGTTCAACTCTTGGTTTCAGCTCAGGTCATAATCTCAGGGTCATGAGATCCATCTCCGAGCTCAGCAAGGAGTCTGCTAAAGTTTCTCTCTGCCCCTCCCTGTGCACGGGCTTGCTCTCTCTCTCTCTCAAATAAATAATTTTTAAAAAAAATATGGTGATTCCATATGGTTCATCCTAATGTCATGCCCACTTTACAAGTGAGGAAACCTCGAAGATATTTATTGGTTTGCTCAAAGTTGGTCTGCTTCAGAGCCTCTGTGCTTAATTGTGAAATTATGTCTCCTCTTTTTCCTCTTCCTGCATCTTTCATTTCCCATGACAGTATGCCTGGGCTTGAAGAGACCATATAAATGGTTTGTTCACTGGTTTGCAAAATTGTATTCATGGAACACTTTTTCTAAATGCAGTCTTTCAGGAACCCCAATCCATAAAGCCAAGAATATCAATGCCACTCCTTCAGTTAGAGAAAGGAAGGTGGGTAAAGCATCTCTACTTTGTCCCCAGTCTTCCCTCTGCAGCAACTCCCAGATTGCCCTGGGTCCCAAAGAAGATAGTCTGGTAGATACCTGACCAATACTAAAAAGATGCTATGGATCATGCACTCCTACCATAGTATTCTGTTGGACTAAGTGCTAGAGGTTGGTAAGTGGTCAGGTAGGGCTTCATAGAGGGCAGAGGGGATGAGAGCAAGGACGTGGGGAGAGTGTCAGGTAGATGACCAGAAGCAGAAAAGAACATGATCTGTACAAAGACTGAAAGGCATCCCATGGCTAAGATCAAGAGATAGAAGAAAAGCAGAGATGAGGCCAGAGAGGTCAGAAGGAACCTGATCATACAGGTTATTATAAACTAGCTCATGAAATTTGGATCCTGTCTGAAGGGGAGTGAGATGCTTAGGATATGCAGGAAGGATTTGATAGGGTTAGATTCGTGCAGCAGAAGGAGCCCTCTGTAAACAACCCGGATGACTGTCAGTAGGAGAGCAGTTAAATAAGCGTACAATGGAATATGCATACAGTGGAATACTCTACAACAGACAAAATGAATGAACTATAGTGTCACTTAATATGAGATGAATGAACATAAATTAAATGAAGAATGTAAGTCCCAAAGATATATTTTATATAGCATGATACCCTTTCCCCTGTTTTAAATTAAAACAGATACACGCCAAATACACTACATTTTTAGAATGAATACAGGTGCTATAAACTATTTATTTATTTATTTATTTATTTAATTTATTTATTTATTTGACAGAGGGAGAGATGGTGAGAGAGGGAACACAAGCAGGGGGAGTGGAAGAGGGAGAAACAGGCTTCCTGATGAGCAGGGGGTCTGATATTGGACTTAATTCCAGGACCCTGGGATCACGACCCCAGCCAAAGGCAGACGCTTAACAACTGAGCCACCCAGGGGCCCATGCTATAAACTATTTAGAAAGGGAATCAAGGAAATGGTCAACATAGGATTCAGGATGATGGCGATGGCCGTCTTGAGTCAGGGAGGCGGGGCAGTGGTATGAGGGAGCCCTCATTACATGGAGGTATCATGTTCCTACCTGGCATTTTGGGTGGTGGATTTGTGGAAGTTTTTTTTTTTAACTATTAAAACTAGCTAATTAATAAACACAAAGTAGATGAATACATAAAGCCTAACCATGCATGGTGCAATAATGAGCTTGAGTCATGAGCTAAGCCTCATGGATAATCTAATTCTATGCATCAGAGATCCCCACACTAACTATAACAAAAAGTCAAATGTGTATCTCCACCCCTCCAGCTTCAGGGTGAGAGCTCAGTGTGAAAATGCAAGTGTGGAAAGAGGGAGACCTGTGAGGAAGCTGTTGAAACTTTCAGTGAATACCAAATATGGTCTGACCAGTGTTGTGTTAGTGTGGATGAGCGAAGCAGCATGGTTAGATGCATGGGGCCAAGCTCTCCAGGACTTGGTGGGGGAGGTAAATGAAAATCCTCATTTACTGCTCCGTGATCTTGGCTGCCTTTCTGGGCCACGCTCCTCTCATCTGTAATGTGGCACCATCCTAGCTAAGTCACAGGACTTATGTGATGTGTTCTTGGCACATATGGTAGCAAGAGGAGTGGTGATTCTTTTCCTCCTTGTGTAGGAGTCAAATTCCTCCATGTCTAGATTCTGTGCCAGCTTCCTCGGCATGATCAAAATATCCACTTCTTCGGAAATCCAGTGAGATGTTTTCAAGGCCAGTTGTTGGGATGTTATCAGAGAAGCTCCAGTGTGAATGAGTCACTAGATGTCACTGTTCTCCTTACAGGAGATCTGGAATTCTTGGAGCACTAGTCATTCATTCATTCATTCATTCATTCATTCATTCATTCAGTATTTTTGAGTACTTACTATATGCCACTTCACTGAGAAGTGAAGAGTACAATGAGTAGACTCGGTCTTTATCTTCACTGAGAAGTGAAGAGTACAACGAGTAGACTCGGTCTTTATCTTCATGGAGTTTACAGACTTGTGGACGAGACAGGTATTAATGAAACAATCACGCAAGTCAAGACAGACTGCAAAGTATCAAGAGAAGACCAGGCCAGTGGGTTGAAAGCGTGTGATAGGACGTCTTGCGGAGTTAGGGAAGGTTTCCCTTAGGAAGTGACATTTAAACTGAGTTTTTGGGGGTCGGGTGCATAAAGTGAATGTGGAGGACTGGGTTTGGGGGAGGGGAAGGAGCCTGAGCACAAGCAAGGTTGAAGACCGAACTCCTGCAAAGATCTGAAGAATGAGCAGGATGGCCCATTTCCCTGAAAAGCTGAGAACCAATGTAGCAGGGGCCGAGACTAAGGGGCAGCTCCATGAGCAGTGCTGAGGACCAAGCGGCAGGGCCAGGCCAGGTAGAGCTGCAGAGGCTGTGGTGGTGAGGAGGTTGGCCCCAGCAGTGGGGAGCCAGAGAAGAGTTTGGGCAGGTAGACAGGCAGGGGTGCCTCTTCTCAGCTGCAGGTTCTCCACCTCTTAGTCATCCCTGCTCAGAAACGTTAGAGCTGCCTGATGAGCTGGCTTCCTTGAGGCTCCAGTTTCTTCTCCCTGGCCCCAAACCCCAATGGTAGGTCCTTTTAAAGGTGCATGACAGCCTAAGGGCTGTGGTGCGTTAGGCTTTTCCAGGGGAGCCAGGCTAAGGTAGGAGTGGGTGGGCAGGCCGACTGTAGGTGTGGAAATGATGTGGAGGAGGGGAATATGGCCACTGAGTAAGGCTGGTGTGATGAGAAGGCAGCCACTCTCCCTGGGATCATTGTTTGTTTTCTACCTTCTCCCCAGCTCCCATGGCTCCTCCATCTCTTCATTTTTTTCTGCAGCCAGGGGTAGAGGACACATTGATAAAACACAGAAGAACCTTGGCCTGGGCTCTGACGCTGAGACACAGCAAGGCTGGGGCAAGTCCTTGTTCCCTTTCTGGGTTTTTCTTTTCCTACCTGAAAAGGCAGAGAGGCTGAGTGAATTTCTTTCTCAGTTTCCTACAAGAAAGACTTTGTCTAAGTGGAAGCAGGTAGCTCAGGCTCTGTGCTCTACTTAGAATCTTGCTTCAATCTCCTGTTCACTGTGTGATGCTGAGTGATTTCTCCGAGCCTCAGTTCCCACATCTGTAAAATGTGGTCTTTATGGAAATCAAATGAGATAATGAATGCATAGTACCTGGCACATAGCATGTAACGGACAAACATTTTCTGTGATAATGATAAAAATGATGTTCATCTAAACTTGACCCTTCTTTTTTTTTATGATTCCTTTGGTACTTCCTCTTCTAAGTAGTACTTGATAACTTTGCGGATGCCCAAAGTGCTAGGGACATGACATTTTAGAGTAAGATCTGTGTTTTTGCATAAGAGAGGTCACTGGTTAACCCCAAAGGGCAGATCATGAATGGAGGGATTAAAGGAACATTTTCTTACTTTATAAACATTGCTGGAGTTCATATTCTGTTGGTTAGGAATACCATAGGTAGAGTTACACATGAGTAAAAGGATTTCCTTCTTCTATGGACCTCCCAACATAGAATGGAACCAGTCTTCTACGTAAGAACTCCTGACTCCTTGAGTTATTTGAGGAGCTCAGTCAACTTTTGAGTCCCATTGCATGGCACGGTCAGGAAGTGTCAGAGAGGGGGTATGACTTGCGTGAGGTCTGCGAGGCAGTTCTGGCCTCTGATTCTGGACCAGGGTTAGGATGTGCTCTGGATAGTCCTGGGAACCATTAGACACTAACTCCTTTGACAGTTGGGATCTCCTTGGGTCCATCTCCATAAATGCATGCGAAAGGATG